AGAAGCGCCAGAGAGCGTGGTCTGGGTCCAACTGGATAAGACAACAGGTGGTGCCGTGCTAGCGTCACGTTATCAAACCACAGCTAAGATTTTGATCGCTGGTAACGAGAGGTCTGGTACGAACTGGATATGGATTGTGACTGGTGTCTGTTCAGGCTTGCTGTTCATTTTGTTAGCTGTGGTTCTTGTGTGGTGGGTGCGGAGAAAGTGGCAATTGTCAGAAAGGTAATTTTTGGCGAGATTTCGTTTGCATCTTTGCACCTTTGAGTTGAACTGAATTGAATTATACATGAAACCAGTCAAACTAAGTTCACTTTCCAGGTTATCATTTGAGCCACGGAAAACTTGATCTTTTCTTAGTTACCTCTTAGCACTAAATTTTTGCGGGAGTTTATTTTTGCGAATCGGCGATTTTTTGCATTTTTCGGGAACTAATTTTTGCGATTGTAAAAGACTGTTGTTTTTTTTTTGCTGGGTAATAATTTTTGCGATTTTCGGGAAGTCACCTTTAATTGACATTACAACATTTTCGCATTTTTTTAAAATTAAACTGCATGCAATTAACAAGTGAGACAACATGCATAGAGAGATAAAACTCAGTAGTCTAGTAATCAGTGTTACTATCAAAATTACATCGTGCTCTTGTGTGGAATTGTAGATGCTCTTCTCAATAGAGTACCTTCAGACGATCCTTTCTTGTAAACCTTTATTTCTGAACGTTTCGTTTCTCATTTCATCGTCTTGTTTCTGAACAAAAGAAAGGTTTTAAATAAATGACAGCAACAATATTCTATTTGCTATGTTTGTATGTATAATTTCGCTAGTGGAGTAAATTTTTGCGGAGAAAATGTTTGCAAGAATTATTTTTTGCGGATCATAGAAAAACTCGCAAAAATCGGACAAATTAGAAGCAGCAATAATTTATTGCCACACGGTAGGGCAGTCTGTTCAGTTTTCTCAAGAAAGATTCCAATGCCTGCTAGGTGTTTTGGCAACCAAGATTAATGCCTTTAATGGTGCTTTTATTGGTTTCATCGCGTTTTAGAAGATTTTTTTTAATTTGGGGCAAGCCTCGAGTTAGATCTCACACGATGAGTGTCTATATTGTGTCACAGACAAGGCATAATGCCTCTTCTATGCAGGCAGGACTATAACTGCATACTAGCTATTTTGGAGATTACTATTTCTTTTGGGGGGGGGGGGGATAGTTGTGGAACTTGCAATGGAGTAGAATACCACCCTTAAAGTACCCAAGTCGCTACAAACTATGCTAACCGAAATTTTAAAAATGCGCCGTTGCTTGGCTTCATAACCTAAATAGTATGATTAATTACGTTAATTAGTTCACTATTGCCTTTGATTTTCAGGATTGATGATACAACCGCGGAGATCGAGCTTCCCTACTGCAGCTCTGTCAGCTCAAAAGACACGGTCCCGGTTCCTCTGGAAATGTATTCTGCTGACGATTTCGGGACGTCGCGCCCTGTCCCAAAAAGTACACAAATGTGAGTTTTTGATTATTTCTATGTATTATTCTGTTTTCCGTTATGAAATAAGTGAACCAGGCATAGACTTTCGGTAGCCTTCAGTATGGCGCATCAGTTATTTCAGTAAAAGGTAATGTGATCTTGCCTCATGTAATCAGTTTCTTTTGAAGAGCAAATAAATCTTAAAAGTCACTTCAGAACCAGAAGTTCTTTTTCTTACCTTCTGTGCAAGAGACCTAGAAGGCTAAAATCTGAGATTAGAAATTAAAAAAAGGGGAAGAAAACGAAAAAAATAAATTTGGCAAAACGTCGGACTTTGTTTCTCTAGGACTATTCTCGTTATTAGATGTTTAAGTGTATCTATGTATTCTAATAAATTAGCGCCTTGCGTGGCGGCCACGTTAGGAACGGCGGTTATTTTTATTGTCTTTCTTGCCGGGGATCTCGAAATAACTCAACCGATGTAATTAGAATCAAAGAGAGGCTACTATGGGATAAGATGACTACTGATAGTGCTCATCCCCTTCATGAACTGATTCCACCCCAGAGATCAAGGAGCCTTAGGAAAAGGGAACATCCTTACATCCTGCCACGTGTCAGAACTGAACGTCATAAACGCTGTTTTGTGAACAGATGCCTTTTCAATTTTTTTTTAATTAATTGTCATTCATACATTTGTAATTAGTTTTTTTATAGCAGTTAGTTATATGAAATTGTAAGTCCAGACGTATGACTCTGGGCATGTTTCTTTTGGTATTTACTATTTATTAATAAAGAATTCTTAATGACAAAATTCTCAATGCCGATAAGTTTTTCGCGGGCCTATTTGTAATAGGAATTGGACCGAGTGGAGCACAAATCAGGGAGTAATTAATCGAGCGAGTAGTTTTAAAATCGGACGAGCAGGCAGCGCAAGGCCTAGTTTAAATTTTGTCACCGATACGTTTACTCCTTGCATTGGTAGCCACTATCAAGTCTTATCACAGAAGTGTTTCGAGCCTTCGCTCCATGCTCTAACTTGTAATTCTAGGAACAGTGGCTTTTTCTAGGGGCACAATAGCCACAAAGGACGAAGCTGAAAGAATGGTTAACTAGAACTTAATGCTGATAGTTTGTCTTGTTTCCTTTTAGGGCCCTGTCTTCTCAACCGGGCACCCCTGATATCCAACGCGCGTTGCGCCTGGAGCAAGCAGAGGATGAAGTCATGTGCAGAGGGGAGCGTGTGGAATCACTGTTGGATCAGGATAGTGACGCTGAAATACGACGTGTTGCAGGAAGAAAAATAAAGAGCAAGCGGAGATTGACAGGTATACTTTCATTTAATTCCTCAATCACTTTTCACCCGAACATTCGCACCTCTTGTTTAAGTTAATCTCGTTTGCTACGTTCAGCAGAAATTAACCAACATTCCCTCCCCCCTCGGAGGCGCGATGGCTTCATGGTTGGTGCATTCGACTCCAGATCGAGCCAACCGGGTTCGAGCCCTGGCCGAGGACATTGTGTTGTGTTCTTGGGCAAGACTCTTTACTCTCAAATTGCCTCTTTCCACTTAAGTGTGTAAATGGGTACTGGCGAATTTAATGCTGGGGGTAACCCTGCGATGGACTAGCGTTCAATCCAGGGGGGAGTAGAAATACTCGTAGTCGCTTCATACTACAGAAACTGGGATAAGCCCCGGCCGAATGCGCCACTTGGCTCGTATACTTTAACTTTTTTAAATCACCCCTCCCCCTTCTAGTGCATTTCCCGCGATCAAATTTTGTAATGATCCTCTTTTGATAAATTGTCACACAAACGATTTTCAACGAAGTCAGCCATCAACTGACAAGTGACTCAGTAAATAACACATAACCCACTTCTCGTGCTTTATTCATTCTTAATTGATACACAACATCTGTGAGATTTGACTCCAAAATGTTCCACACTGATCACGCATATGTAGTTATTGGTAACTAGGGGTAACCTTCGGGTGGAAGTTCAAAATCTAGAATCCACCAATCATGCAGGCACGGATCAGTTTGGAGTTTCGTCATTGGTTTGGGATTTTTTGGTCCAGTCTACTGAGTTGCTAGCCTGTCTATTAAAGCCAGTGAGAGAAGTTAAAGGGAGAGGTTTGATCCGCTGTTCTGCTAAAACACAATAGCTTTGACTAGTTTACAGAAAGCGTCCATCTTGGAGTTTAATATATCATATGATGTCAAATTTCTAGGTCTGCTCAGGATGGCGTCAAAAGACAGGTGTTGCGTTGCTCTTCAATCGGCACCAATGAGCAGTGACGATGAAATGGAGACGTCTTTCTCGTCCTATAAAACCACAACAGAAAAGGGTATGTCTAACCCAGTGTACGACGCAGGTGCAGATAGTTCCGATACTGAATTACCGCGCTATGAGGACGGATTGAAGTCCAAGGAAAAGGAAGAGCGACGGCGTGTTCCTGAGATTCGTGCCAGGTAAGAACCTGAAGTAGGAAACGGCTTCCACTGATTTTTGAGAAAAATGTTAAGCTTGCTGATCGTAACGGCGACCATTTCTCCAAAAACTCGTCGTTAATGTTTAGCTTCATTGAACCAGAAAAAAGAAAGACAGGACATGAGGATGTCGATCATATATTCCATTCAGTGCCAGCTTCAAAATATCAATTCTCCTTAATAGTTGCTACGCATTCCTTTCATTTTTGGTTCTGAGAATTTGTTGGTACATTAAGACAATGCCCCATGATTGATGATTTTCTTTATTCTCATCAGCTATCTGCTAGACAGTGTCTTGATATTTTAAGGAGAATTATTTATCACCCCAGAGGTCAAAGGGTCTAGAGGAATAATTGAGATACATTTTTCATATTTGTTTAAGCCAAGATAAAAAAGAAATTATTTCACACAGGATTCAAATACCCAGAAATTGGCGTTGTATACTAATGATTTTTCCCTTGGTTTATATTAGAGATGACGTTGACAATTCCGATTCGACAAAGTTGGAAGACGAAAAAATATCGTCTTTGCATGCGCAGACGGCCGTCCCTGTCTCTCCCACAACCATTGCTGAGGATGCCACAGTGGAAGCCACCAAGGAAAGCGAGAATCAAGGGACAGGACAAGCAGAGTAACAAAGTCAAAGACTGCTCTAAACTTGACAGCGCTATATCAACAAGCACAGTAAAACTAAGCAGCAGTTATATTAAGGCTGATCGTTTAATCCCAAGTGCCCTTATGGTCCACTTTTAAAGCGTGATTTAATTTGTTCGGAAGGAAGACCTCTGCCGCTCTAGCATAATGTAGAGTTTTGATGCCAAAATGAGATAATTTCTTTTATAGCGTAAAATAAACATCATTTTTCTTACTGACGTTTTGTCATTTGGATGAGGCTGTAGTTTAAAGTTAGTCTTTTGGTTTTGTTTTACATTATTTGTAGTCAATTACAGAATATTTTTTTAATGACGTTAGTAGTTTGAAAAAAGTTATGGATGAATTTATCTAGGCATTGTAGGTTAGTTTTGAACAAAGGAGTTCAGCTTAAAACAGGCCGCTGCTGATATAATTCATTTAAATTTTCAAACTATTGTTATTCTGCTTTTGTGATATTTTGTTGTCATGAGTTTTTGAAGCATGATTAATTCTCACGGCAACGTTTGAGGTCCTCCTCGCACTCCTGAATTTGCATTTTCTACCTGAAAGATGTTAATTACCAGAGTTTCTGTTCGTTTAAGCTGAAGTTCTTGTTTAATAATGTTACTATAAATTGTTTGTTTGCTTATAGCAAGTAGTATTTAGTGGGTTTATTTGCGCAAAAGTAGACGCCATTGGATACACTAATAGAAAGATTCGTAAATAAACTTTGAGCGAATTCTTGCATGAAGCGACGCGTATTAATAGTGCTAAAACGTAGCCTTTTAGTTGTTCCTAGTTGTTTGTCAAATATAGTTCACGACATTGTCTACATTGATGTCCATTCTCAACATCTGAGTTACGGAATAAAATTGCTTGCACTCTACAGAATAACCTCAGTTTGCTCTAATTTACAATCCCTCTCGAGATAGCAATGTTTTCTGTCATCTTCATTCGTACACTTTTCAGTTCTAGACTTCAGCTTCGCCTCTTTGTTTGATCGGGACCTCATGCGTCGTATAAAAGAAGCACCACATGGGTAGCAAACTATGCGAACATACCACCCAAACGTGAACATGTTTTGTCAGATGCGCATGCGTATTGAAAAAAAAGAAGAACCATAAAGTAAAGGAAGTCATACCACAACGACGTGAAACTTTTTAATTATCATTAAGGCAACATTTGTTGCTTACAGTAGCCCCCACGCGCATGCGTATCTGTAAAATATGTATCACAAATCTGTACCACAAACACGGGAAACAAGGTAACTGTAAGGGAAATTCTTTTATGTTAAGGGGGGCTGGTCGGGGATGGTGGATGGTACCCTTATGGATTTTTCGGTTTTTTTTCTTGAGCGAACTTTTGATGTCTTAAAGTAACGTCGACATGTTGAAAGTGCTTTTTCGATACAGGATATCGAATGCGCATGCGTTCCTGAATTATCTGTACCACAAGAATGGGAGCGTTAATCACCATAAAGCCAATTGCTTTACCTGGACGAGTTGGTGGGGGATTCTGCTGAAAACTACAAATTTTGAACACTCGCTACAGATAAGCTAAAGTAGTTTCCTGCAACACCTGAACAGTCAACAACCATCAATCCGTTTCACCATGGAGATCGAGAACAACAA